TCAAGATGCACGAACTGAGCGACGAGACCCACGTTCACCTTCAAGAGGCAACACCTCTCACCAACGAGCTCCTCCACACAATGGTGGAGAGGTTGAAATTAGCAGTCAACTATCTCGCTCAAATCACCTTCCCCACATAGGTAATACCATTGGTGGAAGGACAATACCTCCAATAAGGCACAATCCCTTCACTGTCGCAATAATCAATGAGATACTCCCCCAACGGGTAAAGGTCTCGAGTCTACCGCAGTTCGATGGAACTGGTGACCCACAGGAGCACCTTGAAAAGTTCTACGCCATGGCAGATCTATATGGCCCAACTGATGCGGCAATGTGCAAGATGTTTCGCACAACGCTCTCCGAACGAGCGTTGAGCTGTTTCAACTCCTTGCCCACTGGGTCGATTGAAGCTCTTTCCCAACTAACAGATCGTTTCACCCACCATTTCGCTATCAATAAAGAGTACGCAAATACTCCCGCGTACCTCTTCACTATCACCCAGAGAGAGGGCGAGACCCTCCGCAACTACATTCAACAATTTGTAGAGGCATCGCACAAAGTTCCTAACGTGGGAGGAAGCATGCTCGCTGGAATCATTCAACAAAACTTGAAGGAAGGTAGATTCAAGGAATCTATTGCAGGAAGACCTCCAACCACTCTAGAAGAGTTACTAAGTCGCGCTGAGAAACACGTGCGTATCGAAGAGGCTTCGGCCCTCCCTCCTCCCAAGAGGAAAAGAGATGAAGATTACTTCAACACCCGGCGACGAGATGGCCGGCGACAATCGTCAACATCTCATTGATAATCTCCTTATACTTCCAATGATGTCAATGACACTTGGAGTCTATCGAGCCCATAACATTGTTCGTGATCACATCATCCTAAACTGGGGGGCTATCATACCTTAAGGATGATACATCCCCTCACCTCTCGACATCAATTGAACGAAACACTTACATCATCTACTTTGTACAAGTTTATTTATTTCGAGCGATTCGCTCCCTACTTGTTTATTTACCTTCGCCTCAAGTAGGCTCGAAGCTTCACCTTTTCAATCAATGAATAAAGCTAGTTATTTTCTTTACTCTCAGTGCTATCGCTCTTTCAACACATAATTATTAGCTCAAGTCAACATAAAATCTGGGAGTTTATAGTGCCCCCAAAATATTTCGTTCACCGAGGGTTATCGACCCCATGGGGGCCTACCTCCGCCCTCTTCGAACGGTTCAGATAACCGAAGAGGAACTTCAGCGTATGATCGCCGAACCTTGAACAAGATCAAATTCTACTTGCTCCTCTAACGGTTCAAATAACCGATAAGGACCTTCAGCGTACGACCGCGAAAGTTTCAACTCGTGTTGTCACTGAAGCAATGGCACAACCGTGCGCATCCACCTCAGACCATAGGTCTCGAGCGCCTCATTATAGAGTAGAGGGTTATCCCATCCCATGGTGGGCATCACCCTTACCTTCCAACCCCAAGTGGGTGCACATACCATCTCGAGAGACAAGTATAATCTCCCTACTTAAAAAGTAGAGCATCCCCAAAGGGGTGAACATCAGCCCCCTAAAAATAAAAATAAAAAATAATAAAAAAAAGTAGAAGAAAAAAGAAGAAGAAGAAAAAAAAAAAAAAAAAAAAAAAAAGAAGAAGATGAAGAAAAAAGAAACAAGAAAAAGAAGAAGAAAAAAGAAGAACAATTAGAAGAAGAAGAAAGAAAGAAGAAAGAAGAAAGAAGTAAAAAAAAAAAAAAAAAAAAAAGCAGACGCGCGCTGATGCGCGCGCGCGTCAGCAATAAAAAAAAAAGAAAAAAAAAATTAGCCAAGCACCCGGCTCCCTCCAAGCTGCGCGGCTCCCAGCGCGCCATCCACATCGCGCGTCATTCTTCTGCATAGGGGCGCGCGCCACTCAAATAAAAATAAAAATAAAAAAATAAAAATAAATAAAAGAATAGAAAAAGGGAAGAGAGGAGCAGTTTGCACAGCCACCACACGTCACATCATTGTAAAACAAAAAAAATTAAAAAAAAATGGTAAAATAAAGAGAAGCACGTGGGTCGCTGCTCAAACATCAATCACATCATTCTCCTCCACGCGCGCGTCTCCCAATCCTACATAGATTCGCGCGCGCACCTCACCCTAGTAACCTTATCGCGCACAATTTGCACTGCGCACCACTAAATCGCGTGCCGATTTCAGCTCACTTCACTAATTCGCACGAGAATTTCAACGCGCTTCACTGTATCGTCCGCTATCTACAATGCCTCTCCAAACCGCACGCGCTCTCAAAAGGATAAATAAAAATATTATTTCTCCACGGCACGCTAACAATTAACGGTACACCACAACACCGATCTACTCTCGACACGATTCGGTATCATTTTCGACTAGGCTCCCACATCGAATCGAGAGTGGGGGCTTGCACAACTCCCACGAGGAGCAAACTCGCTCGGCCCTACACACCCGTTGCGCGAGGCAACTCCCACGAGGAGCCAACTCGATCGGCACTACAAATTCGTTGCAAAGCAACTCCCACGTGCAACTACCACGTTCGATAATAAGACTCGCTGCGAGACAAATCCCACGAGGAGACAACTCGCTCAGAGCGACCTCAATCTGCACACTCCTCGGTCGCGCGTCATCCGATGCTCCTACGACTCCGTTGCGAGGCAACTCTCACGAGGAGCTAACTCGCTCGACGCTACAACCCGCAGCAAGACAACTCCCACGAGGAGCCAACTCGCTCGGTATTACAACCCGCAGCGAGACAACTCCCACGAGGAGCCAACTCGTTCGCTACTACAACTCGCTCAGAGCGACCTCAATCCGCACACCCCTCAGTCGTGCGTCATCCAACGTTTCAACAACTTCGCTGCGAGACAACTCCCATGAGGAGACAACTCGCCCACAATTCACTACATAATCGCAAGCTCATGTTAGCACGATTACTACCCTAGAAACACTTAGAGATATTATGGGAATCTATACAGCCTGGCCAGCTTGATTACTCAAATTTATCTACTTGTGTTCGACGGGTCCTTCATTAAAACGTGGACACGGTCCAAACATACTTACGACCCACGAGGTCTAACAAGGGACACAATCCCCATAAAAAAATCTTGAGAGCCTGATCCCCTCCTCAAGTACATCAAGCGCAAGGCTATATGTAAACACATACAAGCAACACGTCAAAACATTGACAATGGCGATACATAACAACTCCCACGAGGAGAATATTCGCTCCAGGCTACTACATTATCGCGAGACAACTCTCACGAAGAGATAACTCGATCAACTCTATTACCCCGCGACGAGACAACTCCCACGAGGAGATAATTAGATCCGAGCTACCACATCGTCACGGGACAACACCGACGACTCAAGTAACTTACATAGCGACAGATTGGTCGCGCTATGCGCCAACGCGCCTTCACGCCCCTCCGACACACGCTCCAACGTGTTTTCGCACACCATTAGGCCATATGCCAACGACCGACTTCTACAATCTTTACTCTCGACACGATCTGACACCCATTTCAACATGGCCCCCACAATCGACTCGAGAGTGGGGGGCTTAATGATATGCCTAATTGGGCCAACCCAATTAGCCTACAATTTATTTACCTATTGGGCCACGAGCCCAATATCTAAGACCATTATCACCGAGGCCCAATCACCTTCAAATAAGGCTTGGGCCCAACAATCTCATCTAAGCTATAAATAAAAGTTTGAACTCATTCCTCAAGGTACGTCCTATTAACTGAGCAATACTACAATACGTATTCTCTGGACATTTTCTATGATCAGCACGTCTGACTTGAGCGTCGGAGGGGTTTCCGCCGGATCAACCCCCGGCGTAGTTCACGTGTGCTCATTTTGCAGGGACCTCAGGATCATCAAGTTGTCAAGCTACTGATCTGCTTTGCTCTCCCAGCTCATTTTCTACACCACCCTAAGTGAGCTACATATTAGCATCATCAAATATTATTTATATTTCAAATGTTTTAGGAGGCTTTTAGAAATACATTTGGAAATTTCCAAATTATTTTCACAACAAAAGTAAAAAATTCGAAACTTTTATATTCAATTCGAATTACGATTCAAAAGCATCGGAAGTCGTATCCTGAAAATTGGAACAAAATTAAATAAAGAAATTATACATTAATTTTGTTTTTCTTTTTTTTTTTTTTGTTGAATTGTTTAGAAGTGGAGGAATAGTTTTAGAATGTGAAATTCAGAATCAAACATGGTTGAGACTTAAGAAATGTAAATATATGGGGGACCACATCTCATTCATTTTAATATTCTTTCCATAGAGTATCAGCATTTTTCAGCAACCATTGGTTGTTAAAAAATATCTAACTTTAATCAATAATTAAGGTTTTAATCAATAATTAGGTAAAAAGATCAACTTCATTCATATCCACACATACATTAAGAAAGATATCATAGAAATTTAATCACGTGTTATGTCGGTTGGAAGACTTATCAAGCAAAATAGAGCTATTAACACATACATAAAATTTATGTAATTCGGTTATTTACCGAACCAAATCGTATATTCAGTTCGGTAAATAATATGAAATGTTGGTGTACCGAAATTTTGGTTCGATTTTTACCGAATTAACATCCTTAAATTTACTTCGAGTGGGATCTTTTTATAAGATTATCAATTGAGAGATAGTTGTAATTACCCAAATAAAAGGAAGGTTTTTCGGTAATTTGGCCTTAGTTTATATTTGATATATAGTTGGTATGAATTATGATGACCTACTACTTATTTGTATTTAAAAAGTTCAATTTTTCTTTTTTAATAAATCAACAATGAATTCAATATTATTTAACAAATGGATGAAGTATTTAAATTAGGGTTGAAAAAAAAAAGTTAGTTTTGGATTTATGTGGAAGGTTTGAATTAAAAAAAAAAAGAAATTAATTTAATTAATAATAATTAAGTGAGGGGCTTATCCAAAATGAGAAACCTTGTCCTTTTGACCATTCTCCCATTCTTCTCCTTGTCCGAAAAACCCCCAACTTCTGGGCCCTTCTCAGAAAACAATCATCTTCTTTCATTTTCTTTCTCCCTTTGTAAATAGATTGTAAATTTAAACCCAAAACCTAATTATATGTATATATATGTATGTATATGTATTTATGTATCTGGGGCTGAGTTTGAATTTATGTAAAATATCTGCATAAATAAAAAAAGGGGGGGAATTGAGAATTGATTTAAAGAAGTTGGGAGGAGATGACGATTGAGGAGAGGAGATCAGGGAATTTGGGAGGGCATAATGGTAATTACAATAGTAATGGAGAGAAGAGGATAACTTATTTCAGCAATTCTTATGTGTTGGGATTGACTGTTGTTGCTGGTATTGGTGGTCTTCTCTTCGGCTATGATACTGGTAATTCTTTTTTTTCTTTTTTTTTTTTTTTTTTTTTTTTTTCCCTTTATTACATATTTGCAACATTAAATATTCCCTGCAAATGTTTTTGTTATTACATCATCATCGTTATCTTTTTTTTTTTTGTCTGAATTGTGTGCCGACATGATTGATAATTTGCGGTTTCAACAATTGCTATGTTCTTTGTGGTTTAATTATAATTGATTTGTCGTACATTGAATATATTTGATTTATGTTTTTTTCTTTTTTAAATTGTGATCGTGTTTTAGTTTGTTCTTCTTCATATTTGCTGGAAATATTTTTTTTCCGTGTAGAATTAGCAATGTTTCATTTTTATTGTGAAATTGGCGTGTCGGAATTTGCATATCTACATATAGTGTTTTATATATATATCCTGTTTATGTTATCTTGATTTTAATTTTTTAATTTTACTTATTTGGTTAACATGATGCTTTTGCACATTTCTTGGTAAAAAAAAAAAAAAAATCCAGCTACCGTGAGAATT